TTTTTATCATTGGATTCTCTAACTTTTCTAGGCCATATACGACTAACAAAGGGGGATGTCAGGGGGTATATGTATGGCTCCAGGAACTTTTTGTAGACCCAGAGCAGAACTGGAATGACATACAAGGAATGCACACCATTGTCCCAGGCTTGAGCTCTTGAACCGCGACCACCAAGCCCAAACCAAATCACACTTATTCTTCACAACAAGCATGTGAATGTTATTATTAGCCCGATTTATAAAAAGAAGCAGCATAAGACTATTTTATGACATTCCCAAGGTGGGAGCTTAATGGGTTTAAATTTGAACACAGGGCTTAGGTCTCATACTCCAGTGCACTGTATGCTTTCACTGAACTGTATTAGGAAAAGAAACCAATCTCAATTCTCATGCGGTTCATAAAGGCTGCTCATGAGAAACAGTTTCTACAAGTGATGCTCTCCATTGTCCATAAACTAGAGTTGGGCTCTAGCAAGAGGAAGTGAGTGCCATTCACATTTAAATTAGCTTTTGTTTTTGTTTTAAAACATTCTCTCCTCATTCAATTTCCTGTTACTTTACACTCTTTTATTTTTTAATTTCCCCAGTTTTACTTGTACTCATTTGTGAATGCGTGTATTTAGTGTGGTACAATTTTATCACTGTGTAAGTTCATGTAGCCACCACCACAGACGAGATACTGAACAATCCCATCACCATAAGGATCCCCCGTGTTGCCCTCGTAAAAACCACACGGCTCTTACCTAACGCCTCGCTCCCTTTGTTCTTCATTCTAAAATTTTATCATTTCAAAGCTGTTATATAAATGGAATGACACTACATGTAACCTTTGATACTGGGTGTTTTAAAAGAGACGTGCAATCAATATCAAGATTTTCTATGTGCAGAAAATCAAATGAAAAGTCTGTCATCACCAAAATGTTTTCTTTCCCTTCCCATGTCTTCTATTCATGCTAATGTCCTGATACTGTCATCAAAAAGCCTCAAGATGATTTTAACTTTTTCATCAGATAATGGTTTTCTTCACTAATTTCCAATTGTGGCTTCACATTCCCATCTCCTGGGCAGCTTTTTAGTTAGAGCCAACACTGCTGTGTGGGAGTGGGGCCAGGGGATAAACAGGGTTCACAAGATCCCCAGGTGCCACTAACATGGCAGGATTAAAAACACCGCCATACTGTAAAATAGGGTGTAAGATACTGTTTGTGGGGGGGGGGGGTCTGGAAAGGCAGACAAAATTAACATAAAACAAATGATTATAGAATTAGTTTGAAAGTAGTTTTGACAATACAACGGAATTTGCGAAAGGGAAAACACTGATTCAGTTCCAAGAAAGCAGGCTTATTGGAAGATGTTAGGGCTTGCAATAAACACAATTTCAATTTCTATTTTTTCAATGCGTGTTCTTACGTGTGTGCGCATTATGTGGTAGATTCTTGACACCAACAAAGATGAACATAACAAAGTACTCACTCTTAAAAGCTAATTTGTAAAGTACACAGGCTAGTTGGTAAACAGGCAGTTATAATATGGGAATCTAAATCAGACTGAGGGATGAAAAGGGCTGAGAGAACCTCCTCCTAGACTGGGTAAGAGGATGCAGGACACATCTAGAAGAAAAATTCGGGGATGGGTTGAAGGTCATTCCAAGTGACAGCGAGTACATAAGGATAGGGTGGCTTGAAAAAACAAGTAGATGTGGTCTGATTGGCCACGGGTTGTGTGAAAAAGTGGAGATTAGGCTAAAAAGATAGTCGAGAGTAGATCATGAGAGCCTTTCTTTGCTAAACAGGAAAATTCAGGGGTGTTTTTTAATACAGATTTTTAGAATGCTTTATAAGTAGAAGTGTTTACTGGGGCCTGAAAAAAGAATTCAGGAGTACACTAAAAAAAAAAAAAAAAAAAAAAAAATTTTGTTCTCTGAAATTTAGCACTTCCTTCATATACATGTAGGAAACCATCAGTAGTATTAGTGTAATTTTGTTTCCAAAAGAAATAACATATTTTTTCATATTACTTCAGAGTTGTTACAGGTGTCTCAAAATATTGGCAACACTTATTATATTTTTGCAACTGTGGTAGTTATTAGACCCACTGCTAGGTCTTGTTATTGAATGTGTTAATAAAGAAGCACATATATTATTACATCTCAAAAATTTTTTATTGCTATGCTACCCCTGGGAGAATGTTTCCTAATTTTGGCAATTGTGTTAGTCCCCAGATTGTCTGCTCCGCCTTCCTTCTCCCGCATGGGAAGCCCAAATACAGAATGACCTAGCCTCAAGCACAGAATCCATGTCAGTGCAGAAACAGACTGATGCAACCTGTGAGAAAACTCATGAAAACTACCTCTCCTAAGCAAACAGTCCATTACTTATAAATATGACTGGACAATCAAAAATCACCAAATACGTGATGAAATGTAACGCTATAAATTAGAAAAAATGACATGAACAACAGAACTAATGCAGAAGAATTAAATACAATGCAAAAAACAGAAAGGAGCTTTAAACAAACTAATTATGATAGTCAAAGAGATGTGAAAAGATATTATACCCATAAACTATGACTAGTCAAAAAGCAAAAATAGTTCTTGGATATTAAAATCATACTTGCCAAAATAAAAAAGTAAATTGAACAACCTTCTCCTGTGCTGGTCTTGAATAATAAGATAGATAAGGCTGAAGTTTTCAGAGTTTAAATTTATTTCGAGTTTTAGGAAACAAAATTCAAGAAATCTTCTGGAATGTAGCTAACAGACAATGAAATAGAGCAAAAGAAAAAAGTAAAGAAATATGGAGGATATAGCAAATGATCTAAAATTCATCTAGCAGAAGTTTCACAAAGAGAGGAAAGACAGGATAGGGAGGAATATTTCCCTGGAGTTGAAAGAGCTCATCCACTGCAAAACCAAAATAATGAAAAGTAACACACCAGAACACATCTTGGTAAAATATATGAACTCTAAAGGTAGAGGAGCCTTGTAAAAGTTTCCAGCACAAAGGGAGAGAAAAAGACAGGCTATACATAAAGGACTGAGCTTCTCTGTCTTCTTAGTAAACCTTTCATTAGAAGCTACACAATGTGATTAATCAATGATCACAACTGCAAATTTACAGAAAGAAATTGCAAATCTCATATATTTCCTGATAACACTTCATGAAATTGCAAGAAATGGCTGAAATCTGGGTATCTATTTTAAGAATCCTATAAATAAAGCACATATACCCTGAAACTAATAATATAGGTTTCTCTAGTTATAAATAACTAAGGCACCTTATTTTGACAGTCAATTACTGAACTGTATTGTAATGCAGTTATGTCTCAGGGGCAACAAAAGTGTGTGGGACTAAGCAGTCCCCGACTGCTGTGCTATTTGAATTCCAGTGTCTGTTTTCCATCATTTCCCCCTATCTTCCCTTGTATTGAGGTTATCAGTTGTCATTTCTTACAATTCTCAGTGTATTTATTTTGTGAATTACCTCCCCTCCACCTTTTCTAATCTGATCATTCTAATCTCTTCTAGTCTGGAAAAACAGATGATCATGTCTGCTAAAACTGTGTCTAAAGTAAAAACGCACTGAGTAAAAGCCTTCCTTTAAAAAGAATAAAGTTTAGGGCCTCTGTTAAGATTGCTTAAAGATCTTTATGGTAAAAGTTTTTAAAATTAAAAAATGTTTAAAATGTAAAAACCTTTATGGCTTAATGCCATTAATAATTGTTTTTATACTCCAAAACACCAAACAAAGTGCTAGACGCTTGGTTAATGCTCAATAAATATATATTAATAAGAAGGCAAGTATTTGTTAGTAAACACGTCTTCCCCACTCTCCATGAAGGCAGCCCAATTAGTTTACTATTCTTGGCCTCTGGAAAATTTACAAAGTGCTGAGAGTGAATGAATTCTAAAAAAAAGAGGTATTATATTATGTTTTCTACAAGGCCCTCCCTTTCTATCAAAGATTTTACATGAAGACTTTTATAAAGCTTTCTTCCTTCTTTTGCATGTACTTTCTCCTAATTTTGTGATTTAGTCCTACCAAATTTTTTTTTTTTTTAAGATTTTATTGAGGAATTGGGGAAGGGGAACAGACAAGTTGTTGTCCTTTGGTTCTTCAGTCTAGTTATGGAGGCTGTCGCTTCAACGGCCCATGTTGGTATTGTGATCATTGCGCTCTTCCCAGATGAGGCAGTCACTTGCTGGCCATTGGACGGCCCACTCACGCCAGCTGCCAGCCAGACCCACTGCAGCCTACGCCACCATCGCTGGCGACTCACGGCAGTCCAGCTCCAAGTCAAGCTGTTATTCACCATCTTAGCTGTACAGGGCGCAGCATCACTGGCCCTCATGTGGGATCCGAACCAGGGCCCTGCTGCTCAGAGCTGACATCCCAAGCCAACTCTTAACCAATGTGCCACTCAGCCAGCCCCCTACCAAATTTTTAAGAATAGCAAATGCCTACCTATCCTGGAAGAGACGTGTTGCCAACATATAATTCATGGAGGTCTTGTGTTCAAGGTAGGACCTGAAAGACAAAGAAAGAAACCGGTTATTTCCTAAGCTGAGCTGAAGAAGTAAAACCATGAATCAAGCACAGAAGTGACAGGTTATTTACATACGGTTTCTAAAGGCAAAGGAAGAGGCAGCTACTCAAATTAAAATTATAAACTACTAGAGCAGCAGCAAATACAATGAAATTAAAAAGAATAGAGAGCTTAACTGAGAAAATAAAAAGAAATAAAAGCAGAGTTTCTTGGATTACTAAAAGCTGATATACTAAATTCAGAAAATAAAACTGGAAAACAAAACAACTACCAAAAAAATCACATAAAGCTGGGGGAAAAGGTCAGAAGAAACTGGGAATGGGAGTTCCAAAAAGAGCATGAAAATGTGGACATAAGATCGTCTGAATCATGTTATTCCTCAAGAGCCTTCAAGGGCTCCTTGATGTCTATTGCTAGGGGTGTACGCTTTCTCTTCCAAGCTTTCAAAAGTGGGATATCTAGACCACCAACTCATTCCCACCTTCTCCACACAGTTCCCCAACATGAACCCTGAAGTCCAGCCACACACGTCTCCTTACAAGCCTCTCGCAGCACATCTCCCATGATCCTTTTGCCTCTGTCTAGACACCATCCAATATCTGTTCTTCAAGAAGCAGCTCAAGTCCACCCTGCTACACGAAGCCTTCCTGATATGAGTGCTACAAGTCGACAGCGGTGCCCCTGTCTGAACGACCCTGGTCTGCTCTGTGTGTCTGAGTGCCTGTCATATGCTGCCTCATACAGTAAAAAATTTTTTTCTCGGAAAGCAGCATGATGCAGCAGGAAAAAAGTAGGATTTGGAGTCAGAAATACTGAGTCAAGTCCCACTGTGAGATCATGGGCAAGTCCCATTACTTTACTCAGTCTTACTTTCCTTATCATTAAAATGGGAATAACAATGATGTGTATAAAGTATATTATAATTACAAAGAGCTACATAAATCTGAGCTATTTTTATTATATGTATAAACAATTTCTTCAAAATCAGACTGTTAACTCTCAAAGGGCAGGGATCCCATCTAATATTTGTTTTATACTCCAAAGCACCAAGCAAAGTGCTAGACACTTGGTTAATGCACAATAAATGTATACTAATAAAAATTTGGTCAATTGGACTTCACTGAAATTTAAAACTTCTGTTCTTTAAAAGCCACTGCTACAAAAGTGAAAAAGGCAGTCACAAACTTGAAGAAAATGTTCACAATATAAATATCTGAGAAAGGACTTATATCAAGAGTCTTTCACAACACAATAATAAAAAGATAAAAATCTTAAATTTAAAATAAAAAGAAAAAAGAGACACAAATAGCCAATAGCACATGAATATTCAGTATCATTATTCAGAGAAAAGCAAGTTGAAACCACAGAGACATACTACTACTAGAATGCCTGCAGTTAAAAACCTGACAATAACAAGTGTTGACATGGATGAGGAGCAACTGGAACGCTCATACATTTTATGTTGGTAAAATATAAAATGGTACTATCTTTTATCCCTTATCATATGACCCACCTATTCCACTCCTAGGTATTTATCCAAGAGAAATAAAATCTGTATCCATACAAGGACTTGTACATGAATGTTCATAGCAGCTTTCTTCATAATGGCCCCCAAATGGCCACAATCCAAGTGTTCCACAGCAGGTGAATGGATAAACAAACATGGTATATTCATACCATGGAACAGTACATAACAATAATAAGGGATGAACTATTACTTTACATAACAGTACGGATAAATCTCAAAAATATACACTAGGGCTGGCCGAGTGGCTCAGCTGGTTAAGAGTTCACTCAAGAGTGTGAGCTCTGAGCAACAGCGGTTCAAGTTCCAGCCCCAGCCAGAGCTGAGCATCCGCTGAGTTGCCAACAGGTGGCAAGATAGCTCAGCTAAAAACAAAACAAAAACAAAACAAAAACAAAAAAACATTATACCAAACAAAAGAATCCTGACACCAAACAGTACGTACTGTATGATTCCATTTACATGAAATTCTAGAAAAACTTCAATGACATAAAGCAGATCAGCAGATGTGTCAGACTTGAGGTAATGAGAGCGACTGATTGTAAAGGGGCAGGAGGGAACATCTGCAGGTGATGGAAATGTTCTACATCTTGATCGTGGTTGGGATTGACAGCAGTAGTTGTATTTGTTAAAACTCGTCATCAAACTGTACACTTAAAATGGATACGTTTTATTGCACGTAAACTACATCTCAATGATAAAAAATAAATAACATATCATTTAGGCACATATACAGATGACGAAACAATTTTTTTTTTCAAATCAAGGTAACAATAACCACAAAATTTAGACAGTGTCCAAGCCTGGGTTAGGGGGCTAGTTAGGAAAGAGGCAGGGGGTTAAAAAAAAAAAGAAGAGGAATAATGCACAGGTAGAGTAAATTACTGTTAATGCTCTAGTTCTTGGGTTGGGTAATATTCATGCTCTCGTAAATAAATAAACAAATAAGAAAGGCACTACATGGGGAGCAATGACACTGTGTTGCAATTAATCCAATTCTGTGGACCTGACGTACAGGTTAAAAAAGAAAAAAAAAGGTAGTCACCTCACCCATATATTTCCCATGTCTCTGAGGTAGGGAATATGCGAATAAATCCACCTCTCCGATCATTCTCTTCCTTCACTCTCCGTAAAACTTTTATCTACATAGAAGAAAGAAAATAAAGTGAGTTCCTATTTTGAAAACTGGGATTCATGTGGTTATAGGACAGCGGAAGTAAGAGAGTTAGAAAGAAGCATGAGGGAGGAATTAATTCCACTAAAGATGCTGTTTTGTGAGAAGAAATGTCCCCCATCTTGAATCTTTCTCTTTTCAATATACGTAAAGTATTAGTTGGTTATGAATGCTATGAATAACTCACTAATTTTCACTGAACCCTGTGTTAACCCACAAAAGCCTGAAATGGAGTTATCTTTACCTCCTCCATCGACAGACCAAGCACAGAGCCACCTAACTTCCCCGGCACCTTCTCCCGCACTGAGCCCACAAGGTTTTTCATCTCCGCGTCACTGGCAGAGAGTGGACGGGAACGCTAAGAAGAAGGAAAAACAAACAAAAAATATTTTCACCATCTTTCTTCATTTCCCTCTATTCAGTCCCTTGACGATATTATCTTTCCCGATATATATAAGCTCAAATACAAAGCCCATTTTCTATAATTAATCTCTTAGCCTGAAATAAATGAAAGCTAGTAAAATCAAAGGCAAGAAGAGAAAACAGAGGAGTAGGAAAACATGAGTGGAGAAAAATAAGTAGAAAAAAAAGAAACATGTCCATACGTCTTTCTTAGTGAGTACTTACTCCCACTCTTGGTTTAGAATACATCTAATATTTTCAACAATATGAGAAAAAAAATCTGAAGATAACTTCAATATAAAATTAAGTGTGTATTTATTTCAGTAAGTAACTACATTCTTTTCAGCACAGGGGAAGAATTAGAAGAAATAAGACAGAAAACCGAGGAGCAATGTATTACGTCACAGATGAAAAAGTTGGGCTGTGGGAAGTTTTGAACTTGAGGGGAAAATACTGAGATGACAGTCATCAGTGACACGTAAAAGAGCTGTGACCAAAAGACTACAGCTTGAGAAATACTGTGGCTGCTGGACTTCTAAGAGACCTGAGTCAAGGATGACTGCCCTGGGTATTCAACAGAGGCAAAACAAATGCGCCACGCTCATCACGGACCCCCAAAGATGATTGGGGCTAGTTCCCCTTCTGAAGGCTCATCAGGGAGGTCATCTGAGAACAAAAGTTTTAAGTGACTCTGATGTCCCATGAGCAGAGAAATAAGAAGGTAACAAGGAAAGTCTTATGGTATGAAGCATGAGAACACACTATTATTGAAATAGGTGAAGTGACTGAAAAAATGAGTAGGAAGAATCAGAAATAATTCAAGAAATGTGGGTGCAAGTTAACTTTCTAAATTCCTAGAAGTAACTTTGACCAGAGAAAAAAAGCCCCAATGTCAGGAGCTATTACTGTATTTATTTTTCTCTTTGTGTAGACTACCTATGAAAAGACATTTTGGTAAACTACCTTTTGACCTTTTCAGCAATACTCATTGTTATGGACTGAATGTTAGTGTCACCTCAGATTCCTATGTTGAAGCCCTAACCTCCAATGTGATGTATCTGGAGATGGTATTTGGGGGGGGGG